TAGCTGACGCTTCGGCAGTAACGCCTTCTTCAGACCTGGAAGTGTGTACTGATATGTAATTTACAGCGCCAAACGCTTCAGTAATACATGTAAAAAGAAGAAAATCTAAATGATAATCGAGTGGCTAACGGCTTCTCGGAAAACCCACCTTTTTATGCGCATTCCACTGAGGAAGAAAAGAACAGCTGATTAGAGTTGCAAATGGTTGATGATTGCACAACACACTACAGCACAACCAACTGTTGTATTGACTTCGATGTAGGAACATCTTGGCATAAATGAATGCGAATAACTTCGCATTGTTACATCGTTCTCCGTGTGTCAGCACAGGTGCGCGATTGCTGTTAGCAGTGCTTAGTGGACGATAAATTAGTGCTACTCCATATATCAACGTCACTGCCTCATGACGCGATTGGTTGATGTTTTCCTAACTGAGTTCACATAAGCATAGCCAACTCTACAAAAAGAGAAAGCGCTAAGGCTTCTTTAGCGCACTTCGTGGCCATTTTCACCTTTGATGCTTGACTATTGGCCATGGTTAGTATAGTCATGACGATACGGTCGCTCGAAGCTATCATTACTGAGCTACGTTGAGCTTTAAGAGCCCCACGCCTTAGTGTGGCTATTCTTCGTCCAGCTCCGGATCTGAGGCAAATATGTTTGCTATGAATTGTTAGAAAACACCATGAAGGCCTCTGCAGTGCCACTGTTACTGCAATCACTGTAGCTTCTCAGGTAGTGGTACTGTGGTGGAATGCCTGCAGCGCGGGCGACTCAGGGTCGATTCCCGGCTAATGCACCATGTAGAAGAGAGGTATGGGGAGAAGTGGATCCTATTGTGTTGATGAGACCGCCACGCGAGTCTTCTGAATGTTTTGATTAGCCATGCCTAAAACTTTGGTAGTTAAGCCATCATATATATAACAAAAACATTACTGACACGATAAAAACACAACCACAACAATAAAAAAGTACGAGTGTGAAATAATGCAAAGTTGAAGTTATGAAGTGTTATGGCTACAAATAAAATGAGGCTGTTTAAGGATAAATGTGTTAGAGTATAACTGTAGCATTAATAGAACGATAATTACAACAATGACGTCGTAATAGCAACCACTAAACAGCCATGGGCGATGCCATGCCCAGATCGTCTGCAGTCGGTGCGGCGGATGAGATGGATAGCGCGCTAGCCGCATACGAGCGGTGTGAGCAACGAAGAGGAAACAAATACAGCTCTCCCGGGCCGTAGCTGCGAGGTCTTCTAGGAGTATGGTCAGGTTGATTAATGAGTCATATGTACAACCTGACGAGGTAGTGGAGGCAATCAATGAGCACGTACCAAGGCCGATGTGCGACTATACGATCAATGAACATCAACGAAAGGATCGATAAGGAGTGAGCGTGACGCTATGAGTGACGCCAGTCTCCCGCGCTATCGCTACGGCGACACGTATACCATAGGCCTCCGGCCGCCGTATCGGCCTGGGACCTCATCGTTGCTGCGTCCTTTAGTGATGCCAAAGCGCTTTTCATCTGAGAGTGACCCGAGTGAAAAGTTTGTAGACGACGGACAGTAACCAGATTAGGCGATAGTTGCTGATATCGTGTAGGTCACCCTTCTTGAACAACAGCGCGGTCATGCTGGTCTACCACTGAGTAGGGATCTTGCATTCAGACAGGTAACGTGTGGAGAGCCGAGCTAGTGTGTTTACGAGGACTGGCGGAAGGTTCTTCAAGCGTTCTGGTCTTCTCCTGACCGGACCTGGTGCTGTTCGATTTTTCACCGACGAAATGGCATGTCGGATTTCGGAAATGAAAACCGGTAGTACAACATATACATCCTTTTTTACTTCATATGACGGAAGGTGTACGTGGCCATCGAAGAGATCCGAGTACTATTCGTGAATGATTTTCTCCATTGCCTTTCTGGACGCTGTAACTGTTCCGTCTGGACGCCGGAGAGCAGTCATTTTGGTCCTGTAATTAGTGAAGCTTCGGTGGGCTTTGCGAATGCTTTTCCCAGCCTCTGCGACTTCGACCATTACTGCTGCTCTTCTCTCTCTAAGATCTTCTATCATCGTCTCTCTGCAATGCTTTGAAAGTTCGGAAGTTAGTTCGCAGTTGCCTGCAGCCCGTGCGATTCCACTCTGGCGTATCACCTTGAGTGTTTCTGGAGACAGAGTTCTCTTGGTGACTTAAGAACACTGAGCTTTCATAGCGATAATATGTAGATGTTGAATAAGCTGATCGTATTCTTCGTCAATGCTGTCGACAGCGGCATCTTCCCAACAGCCAACTAATGAATTAAATAAATCCCAGTTTACGGTGGTTCTGGGACTTCGGTTTTGGAATTTAGCGACTTTTTCTCCTTTCCGCGAGAGATAGAATCTTGCGCGAGGGAGGCAATGGTCTGATCCCTTGTAGAATTTTTGGTCAACCGCAACATCGGTTAGACAAAACCTTCTATTCACTGTGATGTGGTCTATGTCGTTATGGTACTCTACAATGGGAGACTCCCACGTCCAGCAGTGAGGGTGGAGCTTTTGGAATTGCGAGTTACCATGGATTGTCTTGGTTGCCATGATAAACTCAAATAGCCACTCTGTTCGTTCCTTTCTAATCCGTGGGTCCCAAAGTGACGTTCGTCAGACATTCTTCTTGGTACAATCTTGGTGTTGAAATCTTTAATGATAACCTTGAAGAAACTGTGGTCCTCTCCGTAGAAAGCTACGCTTCCCGAAGGAAACGCCGGAGTCCTTAACCTGGGTGATCCCGTGGAGGAGATGAATCCCCGCGCTGTAGATGGTGTGACCCGTCATCCAGAAACACCTCTCACCCACGATGAGGCGGGAAACTGTTGGAAGGCATCTGGCCAATCTCAGGATCCACGCTCAGCTTATGGGTGACGGTGACGGTAATTCTTCTCGCGTTCACGTCTGGAAGTGGTTTCGGAAGCATTCACGATGCTCAACCACTTGAAGCTTTCAAAAATCAATATAACTTACAATTCTGCGTTCTAGGGACTGCAGAACCCTCTCGTTCATCTCTTTCTTCTACAAAATCTGGAATCATGGACTGTAAAGAAGTGGTGGGTGTATCCATTGAGGAAGATGCGGAAACCACTTCGAATGTCTGCGCCACATGCCTTATGCCGTTGCTTTGACGTCATAATACTAATGAATTTCCGAACTGTTCTATGAAAGGTGAAATGGTACATTATAGACCAAGTCATTCCGCTTTAAGACCGTTAGCATTACAGAAAAAATGTCTAAGGTTTCTCCCACTTGTGAATTGTTAGCGTGAGTCGTACCATCGTACAGGCCATTCTTCAGACTACGTCTCCAAGTTTGGCATCGGTGATATTACTTACCTGGATACTTGGATGACCAGTTCTCACTGGTTGTGATAGACCCATGTTAATTTCCATTTTTTCGGAGTTTTACCAATTTAGCTACTGTGGTTCTCTAGAGTGCCCAATCGATCCTAGCTAAGGTATTCCGCAAATCGTCTCCAAATTAGACAGTTGCCGCCTTTCTGGATCAGAGCAATATTTGCCAACAAGCAGCTAGTTTGTTAGCAGGACGATGGTGGATCGTGGTATTGGTTTACCCTTAGCAACGCTTCCCGATGGAAATGCCGGAGTCCTCAACCTGGGTGACCCTGCTGGGGAGATGAATCCCCGCGCTGTAAATAGTGACCCGACATCCAGAAACACCTCTCACCATGAGGCGGGAAACTGATGGGAGGCATCTATGGCATTAGCATTCATATTATGATTACACAGGAGAGGGAAACAAGATATATCACAAGTTTTGTTCCTCATAGAGAAAGATAGTGTAGAGGGAGATCATCATAGGAAATCCCCTATGACTTTGTAGTTCCTGGGATATCTCCTTCCTTTGGTGTTCTTGGTGTTTTTTGAGCAAAATCAGGTGATGAAAACCAACCGCTACACATTGGAAGTTCGCATGTACGTCGTTATGAAGGAAAAGCAACTAAGAGAACTCAGAAATTGGTTGTACTATAACAGCACTGTGGCTTGCCTGGTAAAGTTGACTCTCAAAGAACCGGTGGAGTTTGGCTTGATTATTGTTCACCACACACCATTGAGCTCGGATATAAAGCTTTCAGGCTACCACCTGTTCCGAGCTCTAAACCATAGCTTGCTCTGGAAATCCGAACTTTAGGAAGCTCAAATTGGCTTCGTCTGTTTCTTATAACTCAGTAGATTTTCATGAGAAAATAACATCCAGGATGTGCTCAAAAAATGCCTATGGTAATAGTGGTGAATATGTAGCGAATTAAATTTGTATTCTTAATGACGTTTATTCTTAAAAAGTAGGTCAGAAAAAAACGTAAGCGTGGTACCACCTTTGCTTGCTATTATGTGCTTTTTGTATCTTTCTTTTCTCATGGGACCCAAGTTTCCTTTAAGGGGAACCGATCCAGCGTTGCCCAATAAGTGCTCTTATTCGTGTCGCTCCACTTGTACCTCGCAATGGTTAAAACGGGCTGAAAAATGTCCATTGTGTATGACACCAGTTAGCTCATTTTCGCATAACTTAGATCTTCCACCACGTTTGCTTCCAGTGTGAGTGTTCTTTGTTTTGTTTCTTCTTGTTGAATGCGTTTATTGTTTCCTTTTCATTTCAGGGTATTGGTTGCTGATTTGCTTGCAGTAGCTGAAGTAGCTCGATTAGTTGAGAGGGGAGGTCTTTGCATCTCTGACCGAACAGGAGTGTGTTGAACTACGCATACGACGTCTACAAAGGCGGCTTCGCGCTGTTCGGGAGCAAATGTCGTAGTCGTGTCTGTAGATTCATTTAGTTGTTTTACCTAATCACTTTCTTCTTTTAAGAGCACAAGCTCTCGAGTTGATCATTCTTCATAACTTGCCAGTGCTAGTATACGTCTTATCATTGAAATTCGCTTGCTTGAAATGCTCGAGCCAGATTCCACAACAAGGTATTCTTTGGGGAGTTTATCCTTTTGTCGATTCTCGTAGTTATATGTTCTTGAATTTTAACGCTTGATTATTGTTTCGGTTTTTGTTTTTCTTCTTTGCTTGTTAGTGTTTCGTGTTAGCGTTTGAATCTAACTGTTGAGTTCCTTTAACTCGAATTTCCCTGGTTCACCTATAAAGAAGAGTGTTTCTACTGTTTGTTTGTCTGTTTTTATCTATTTGTTCCAGTGCAATGAAAGTGAATATAAAAAGATTGTGCAAGATTAGTCCATTTGTTCTAAATTATCAGCTGGTGTTTTGAATGAATCTACTAGTCCTTGAAAACTTCTATAATGCTGGAGGCATTGGGGCATTTGAAACTAGAGTCAAACTCTGCCAATAAATTCTCATGGGAAGCAAAAGTACAAGGTCAGGTTATGCAAGCTATCCAGTAAAGGCGGTTGCTTTTGTTTGCTCGGCACGATAAATTGGAGTATGCAGGTACCACAACATTTCTATTTGACTCCTTGTGGGATCGGCTGAAGCCCGAGGATTTTGTTCTTATGGATGTCACCGAACTCAGGTCTAATTGGTTCTTCCTGAAATTTTGGTTCCTTGACCGTTATGACAAGCACTGTCAAATTACAAGGGCTCTGCACCTGCCACAGAACGTGCTAAACAACAGTATTTGTTCAATATTTTTGACCTTTCATTTGGCAGTTAAATGTAATACCAGCACAAGTTTAACTCCCTACATATTCACCACTATTACCATAGGCACTTTTTGAGCACATCCTGGATGTCATTTTCTCATGAAAATCTACTGAGTTATAAGAAACAGGCGAAGCCAATTTGGGCTTCCTAAATTTCGGATTTCCAGAGCAAGTTGTGGTTTAGGGCTCGGAACAGGTTGTAGTCTGAAGGTTTTACATCCGAGTTCTATGGTGTGCGGTGAACAATAATCAAGCCAAACTCCACCGGTTGTTTGAGAGCTAACTTTACCAGGCAAGCCACAGTGCTGTCATAGTAAAGCCAATTTCTGAGTTGTCTTAGTTGCTTTTCCTTCATAGCAACGACGTACATGCGAACTTCCAATGTATAGCGGTTGGTTTTCATCACCTGATTTTGCTCAAAAAACACCAAGAACACCAAAGGAAGGAGATATCCCAGGAACTACAA